AGACTGAACTGTCTTGACAAACAACATCATTTAACAAGACTGAACTGTCTTGACAAACAACATCATTTAACAAGACTGAACTGTCTTGACAAACAACATCATTTAACATGACTCTCAAAAAAAAAAAAAAAAAAAAAAAACAACACAGTTAACCTTGTAAGAAACTAAGCACCCCTTCCCCTTCCACCCACCCAGCTATATAATTTGGTATACATACTTAATTAGGAAATATAGGGAGAATTATTATTTCCTTCTCATGAAACAAGAAATCCTATTGTTATAAGCATATAATACATGTATGGGGTTGTATACAGTTAAACGAACACTATTTACTACTAAAATACGTAATTACAAAAGCATTTTGATATAATGAAGGAAAATGTGATCTCGCTTTACCTTCCTGCTACTAGGATGATAGTGAGAAAGTAAAAGTAAAAAGTAAAGATCTCTTTTAACGCTTTATGCGCATCGTGCATTCGGGAAAAGCGTCCCATATTTTTACAGACCAATCGGCACTAGGTGGGTAATGTGGTCAGCATTACGCCGGCTGTCTTAACTTCCCTAAAACAGCCATCCTGGTACTCATTTTAGGCTGGGTCGACCTGCGACCCCCCATACAATAATAAAAATCCACGCAGCCAGCAATGGGTTTCGGTCGCGGTACGTTGGAATTACGAGTCGGACTCGCAACCCCTAAGCCACGGACGTCGCTTAAAAAATATGGAGTGCTTCACGAATTTGCATGTCATCCTTGCGAAGGGGCCAGGCTTTCGTGAGAAAGGAGGAGGAGCGAATGTGATTGTTTGGAAGGATAGTCCCCAACAACAACATTTCCGCAATCTGACATTGTGGTTTGTTTCTCTCTCTCTCTCTCTCTCTCTCTCTCTCTCTCTCTCTCTCTCTCTCTCTCTCTCTCTCTCTCTCTCTCTCTCTCTCTCTCTCTCTCTCTCTCTCTCTCTCTCTCTCTCTGCTATTTATACCCGGTTCATACTCACCAGGTTTTTTGAACTAAAAATCTGCCCAAAGAACTTCGTACATGCCTTCTCATCAGAATATTTCAGAAATAAGACATCGTCTGGTCATTCCAGACAGTTTTGTTACGGCATCTTTGGGGTTTAGTTGGAGTGATACTCTCTGCAGGTCATTGCAGACAGTGCTGTTACGGCATGTTTGGGGTTTAGTTGGAGTGATACTTTCTGCAGGTCATTCCAGACAGTGCTATTACGTCATCTTTGGGGTTTTGTTGATACTCTCTGTAGGTCAATCCAGACAGTGCTATTACGGCATCTTTGGGGTTTTGTTGATACTTTCGGTAAAAGTAATTCATGTATATCTGTGGAGTTGTCTCTCGAGAAATAACCAAAGATACCGCGCGGTGTCGTGTCTAATTTTGACTCATACAAGTTTACATTACAAATAATGGTTGTATAGCAAGCAAAAGTCTTCGCCTCTAGGCAGGTTGTATACCAAGTTGAACTTTTACCAAAGAGAACGGATACGATGGTACGATGTATATACATACATACACATACGTAAATATATTTTAATCCAGAATCCATACGTTGTAAACCATTTAGCTCGGTACTATGAATATCGCAACTTTTCGGCATTGGTTCTATTCTAGATACCATAACTCTGGGAAAATATGCAGCTTTTGTGCCTATTTCCAGCGGGAACTCGGACCACAAGGAGTTTGTCACTCGGTCGCCGCGCATTGGCTTACCCAACTTAGCTATCGCACTGGGCTACGTTTTGTGTGTGTGTGTGTGTATATGTACACACACACATACACAGACACAGGGGCGTTAGAATCTAGAAGCCTAGGTCACTTAATGTCCCCATCATCAGGCAATCTGTAAGAGGACTGCCATTTCTAATGTTTTTTTGATTCTGCACCTCCTTAAGAACAAAGTCTAAAACAGTATTTGTACTCCTGTGATTCTAAGTACATAACAACCAAAGTATTTCAGAAATATAAATAACATATCTCAACTAATTTTGGTGTGCTGAAAACAAAATGGCATCAAAAATGTTGACTATAGTTTTCAATAATTTTTACTACAAGTTTATTTAATTACAGGCAATTCATAAAATGTATAAATATATTACACGATTTTTCGGGTGGCTGCATAATCGTTTTCTAATGACGAATAAAATGTAAGTAGACGTGGATTATGCAATCCTACTTATGATTACATCACCTTTACGTCATAAATATCTTCGCCGTGTGGATTCCGGGGCCGCTCTATGAGTGAAACAAGAATAGATCAACTGCCTATCTAAAAAAAAGCACGCCGTAAGAGTCGACTAATTTGGAGCGTCTTTTAAAGTCGGAGTGCATCTGCCCTAGCGGCAAAGAACAACCAACTGCACACAAACTAGCCAGTAAAAAGGATGTACAAACACTTAGGCCTTGGAACAAAGCCTCAGTTTAAATGGACGAACAACTAGGACTTTCAGCCGGTAATCAAAGTAAAAAAAAAAAAACATGTTTAATAATCGTATCTCTGATCTAATTGTGCTATTAGTTAATGCATTTGCCCTTATCAAACGTGTCGCGGCTAGAAATGCCTAAGAAATGTGTGAACAGCGCAACCAATTTATGTTATCTTTGCGGTGAGGTTACATTTCAATCATAAAAAGCCCGGCTCTCTAGCGTAGTTGGCTAAACCAGATTGCGCGGAAACCGGGTGACGAACTTCTTGTGGTCCGGGTTCAATCCCGGGGTAGGCAGGAAAGCCACATTTTCTCCCAGATTTATGGTATTTACAATGGAATCAAGGCCCCTCACAATTTTAAGAGGGACTATGCCCCCTCCGCCTATCGCCAGAAAAACTAGCCAGGATGGACACGTTAATCATGCTAAATGTTTAGATGTTCTCTTTGCAGGCATTTGTTTACATACGTCTTGTGTTATTTATTCTTCTTTTTTCGTTATTATTATTATTATTATTATTATTATTATTATTATTATTATTATTATTATTATTATCATTATCCTGCTGTTATATTCATTTATATATTTACTCCGTGCCGAGAGGTAGGCATCGCTTCAAATGTCCCGGACATTTTCGTCAGGAAATGCTGCTGTTTTCGGCAACGAAAGGGCAGATAGACTGGCTAATTTTGCACCATTTGAAAGTAAACTGACGAAAAACAAGCATGATGTGGCCAAGACGTTTTGGGGATGAGTGAAGAAGGAGAGAGAGAGAGAGAGAGAGTGGAAAGAAAGAGCGCCCCAGACAATGAAAAATAATAAAAAAGAGAGAGAGAAAGGAAAAATTAAATAAAAACTGATCGCGGCACGAAGAAAGTATATATATATATATATATATATATATATATATATATATATATATATATATATATATATATATAGTGAGAGAGAGACAGAGAGAAAGCGAGAAAGAGAAGAGAGAGAGAGAAAGAGAGAGAGCGAGAGAGCGAGAGAGAGAGAGAGACATAAAAATGTCACGTGATTTCGGTTAAAGAAAAACGACAGAGACGCATGCAAAAGAGGGGAGATATATAAGAAAATAAAGACATGCAATAAATAAACAAGACCTGTTACTGCGAACAATCAATGGACGGCATTTAATTGAATTGCAAACAGACTGAGTGTGAAAATTTACTAGATGTCTGAAAAGACGACAAATGGGGCGGCAACAGATCCTGCCTGATTCAAACATCTCTAACGTCTCAATATTAGAGAAGGAAAAATAATTAAAACAGCCTTGCATTCAGAGGTCTGAATGCGAGCCAATCGCAAGAGGAATGTTTCAAAGTGGCCAGACAATGAGAGCAAATGGATGGGGATTCCATGAAGACAACTGTAAGCATGACAAATGGTGGGGAAATCCATGAAGACAACTGTAAGCATGACAAATGGTGGGGAAATATTTAACAGGCAAAGAAAAACGTTAGAGGAGGTGGGGTGGGGGGGGGGGGAATTGGAATTTTTGGCCTGTTTGATGCTATGTCTCCAGATAAATTTGGATTTTAACTACATCTGACCTCTGTAAAATTACATTGAAAAAATATTGAGTTTGAACAGCATCTTCCATTTCTTCTATAAAATCGCACTTTATTTTCTTCGACATTAAACAGGAATCTGAGTTTAAATATCTGGTCTCCGTGGCAAAGTGGTCAAGACGTTTGCCTCGCGATATGATAGTCGTTGGTTCGTTTCAGAGCTATGTCGTGCAGTTCACTAGTGCAATGTTTACGGAGATCCACAGAGATCATCAACGGAGCTACGGAGTTCTTGCGGAAAGAGACCAGGCCAGATTGGATGAAACCCAGTGCAATGGAGTCCATCCTGTCGACTTTAACCTTTCTATACAGGAAAAAATTCTCAGAAAAGAAAAAAAAGGATAAAGAAATTATTATTAGACGCAGTAAAGTTAAAGCAAGTATCGTGACAGCTAGCGTCCCGTTTACAAAACAATACAAACCCAATCAACACAAAGAAACATCTCATAAAAAGCATATTCATTTCAACTCTATTGTACCAGTGCTAGACATGGCCACTTACAGAAAACCATAATAGAACAATAGTTACAACGGATATGAGATATATGACCAGGGATGCAAAAGTGACTGAAAGAAATACAATCAGAAACATGACCGGAACAAATTCAGTCAGAAAAATAATGGAAAGAAATACAATCAGAAATATAATGGAAAGAAATACAATTAGAAACATGACATGAAAGAAATACAATCAGAAACATGACTGGAAGAAATACAATCAGAAACACGACTGGAAGAATTTTAATCAAAAACATGACTGGAAGAAATGCAATCAGAAACATGACTGGGAGAAATAAATCAGAAACATGACTGGAAGAAATACAATCAAAAACATGAGTGGAAGAAATACAATCAAAAACATGAGTGGAAGAAATACAATCAAAAACATGAGTGGAAGAAATAATATCAAAAACATGAGTGGAAGAAATACAATCAAAAACATGAGTGGAAGAAATACAATCAGAAACATGAGTGGAAGAAATACACTCAGAAACATAGCTGGAAGAAATACAATCAGAAACATGACTGGAAGAAATACAATCAGAAACATGACTGGAAGAAATACAATCAGAAACACGACTGGAAGAATTATAATCAAAAACATGACTGTAAGAAATGCAATCAGAAACATGACTGGGAGAAATACAATCAGAAACATGACTGGAAGAAATACAATCAAAAACATGAGTGGAAGAAATAATATCAAAAACATGAGTGGAAGAAATACAATCAAAAACATGAGTGGAAGAAATACAATCAGAAACATGAGTGGAAGAAATACAATCAGAAACATAGCTGGAAGAAATACAATCAGAAACATGACTGGAAGAAATATAATCAGAAACATAGCTGGAAAAGATACAATCAGAAACATGACTGGACGAAATACAATTAGAAACGTGACTTAACGAAAATACAATGAGAATTGAAGACACAAAAGAGAAAAAGTCAGCACCAAACGCATTCAAAATTACAAACAAACACAGCAAATCAATGAGTTTGCATAGAGAGAAAGTCTTGTGATGGCATAGCATACAAAGCAAATATGAAAATATGAAAAAACGTAGAGCACAAGGTAGATCAAAAACAAGATGGAAAGATTACAACAGGGAACCTACAATGGCAATATGCGTCTGCAGCTGAGGTTGTCAGAAAAGACTCATATATCCTCCTGCCACACCGAAGAGGTAAAAAAGAAAGTAAAGAAGAAGAAGAATATTCTTCTAAATACTTACTGAGTGGACAGACCTGAGGCATGCAACCATGACGTCTAGCGCAACTGACCGCCAGTAGAAAGATAGAAGAACACATAAGACAACATACAAATCGAAAACTGTAATTACCGTGTTGGGAATCAAACCTGTCACCTCCAGACGGCGTGCGCGCCTCGCTATTTAAACAAGTGCACTAAGAACATGGTTAACTAGGCTCCCCCTCTGTTTCTTTATGTAAAAGGAAAAGTAGAGAGTGGCGTAAAAGGTCTGTTCTTTCTACCCCTCCTCCCCCTCAGAATAGGAATCCACACAGGAATCTTCACGTACACGTTCGGATGTCATGAAAGGACACTTCACATTCCTTTGGCGCACATAGTAAGAAAGGCGAAGGCTCTTTTTCCACGCCTACACGCGTTATGGAGCATATAGGGCTAGACAAATATTGTATAGACCAAGAGTAACACGATAGGTGATGTGGTCAACATGACGACGGCCACCTTTACTTCCCAGGACTTTACCTGGTACCAGTTTAAGGCTATGTCGACCTGGGAGCCATGGTGTCTTCCTCGTTTTCTTTTTTCTTATTTTTTTTTTTTGGTCGTCTCACTGAAACTAGGTTGTAGTCCAGTGTGGTTTTATGTATTTCTCTTGCCCTTCTCGGGTGGCTAGAGTGATGGGTTTGTTCATTTTCTTGCAGGTTTCAGCTATATCATTAACCCATCATTTTCTTTCACGCGACAAGCCTAGCAAGCGGAAATTAGTGTATTTGATTGCTAATACTCAAGAAACATTGAATTATTATAGGAGCTAATGGGATTTAGAAAAATAGTTCGACAACGCAAGGGTCTGAATCCACGACTTTTGGATCCGCAGGCGAGCGACTAGCCGCTACACCACGTTGGCTCCCCAAGATAAATAATTAAATAAAAAAAGTAATGCCTTTGGGCGTATATGGAATAAAGGGCTAGACCTATATTTTATAGGCACAGGATGGGTGATGTGGCCTTTACTTCCCGGGACTGC